CTTAACTATTTAATATTTTTCTGTATGAATTCTGTAAAATAAATACCATGCATAAAATTTGGAGGACGCCCGTTGGATTTTTATTCATACCTTTAAGCTATAATTAAATATGGTTTTTTTCATAGTGTCATCTGATCAATATTGTCATAACTTAATGATTATGCAAGTACAGATCTATAATTTTTTATGTATACTAGTATTTTTGGTTCTGCAGTTAGGTTAATATTGCGTTTAAAAATAAATAAAATTTTATTATTTTACAAAAAAGTTTGGCAACAATGTAAATTTTCACACACCCCCCTGGATGACGTGGCACGCCACTTGGTTTTTGGCCGTTGACATAGATACGAGTTTCTCATTAGAGTGAAAATGTTGTAGATCTGTTCCATGTGCTGAGAGGAGGACGGGATACTTTCTAGGCAAATGTACCGCGCTTCACGGTCAAAGGGCATATATATACTCAGCACAACAGTATTTCTTTGAGAGGTGGAATTGTCGGATAATCTGCTAGAAGGGGGTTTCCCCAATCCTACTAAACAAAACTAGTACCAACAAGATAATTTTTACTTCTTCGTTTAGCTTAATTATAAAAAATAACCTTCATCTGAACAAATCCTGGACCAACAGCAACATCTGTCAGATGTTGATTTCTAAGAACAGATGAAATTATGTACAACTGTATGATGGATCATAAACTTTTGCTCAGGACAAATGTCAATTCAATACCCAAACGCTTCTGCATGTAGATGGGAGGAAACGCAAAAACAAAAAAATATGTTTTTTTGTTCATATATCTACCCAAGTTTTAATTACCATAATTAATTCGTATACTCGCTGCTGTGATCAATCTAAATAAATTATAAAGATGATACAATTATACTTGATTATCTCGTGCGTTTGAATCATTCGGTATCAACAAGGTTAAAACAATATTGAGGTAGGTCATTTGCAACCGGTTGGATTAATATTTGATCCACCATTGTATCAATAATAATTATACTAGTCATAGCTTTCACTCAACTTGCCGCAATCAGAATCATTATATTTCCATTCTTGATATTTTTTGTCATGCAAAACTCGAGATGCCACGATTGTGATTTTGCAAAGTACCGAATACCGAATATCTGACCACGCTCTTAGTCGAAGCACCAAATTTTCAGCACTCTGAGTATTTGGCGCCGATTTCCATATGTAGTTACGCCTTTTGAGGCTGAGAGGTTACGGTCTGCGTGTTTGAAGAGGGCATGGAGGAATGGCAAAGCTTGGTGGCAGAGTGAGCGGATATGTTTTACGAGCAGATATAAGGGTCGTATTGACAGTCGTTACTACAATTGTAGGACGCCTTTATGGCCTCCTTGATTTTCATCGTTTTTGTACTGTTCCATATCAGCGTTCTATTTTGAGGTTATGCTACAAATATCCATTTGCTTCAAATAAACAATAGGAGAGCGCTAACGCTGTCACTGAAATATAGAAATACCCCAGCATTTCTGAAAGAGATAAAAGACTATGAAAATCAAGGAAGCTATGAAGGCGTCCTGCAATTGTAGGAAAGACTGACGATACGGCACTAAGTTATGAGGAAAATCGGAATGGGTTTTTACGAAGAAATGTTAAAAATGTCATCATTTGTCACAACTTATGTCTGATCAGCACTAACTGTAATGTTTGTTGAAAAAAAATATTAATTTCTGAGTGATATGTGTGACTTTTTTCATGTTTCGGCTGAATACTGAACGTTGAAAGCGTCAGTAAGTAACCGAACAATCGTGGCATCTCTATACCCGAGCCATACATCGAATCGACACACTAAGGGACAATTTCACCAACATTAATATTCAACGGTCCCTTGGACCAATAGGAAAAGAGGAAAAGACCTTATCGAAATCCAATTTGATAGAAACCGTCAAAGCACTCTGAATATCAGTGATTTCTATTGAAATGTTGAATAAAGTCGTGAAAAAACGGTTGCCTTATAAATAAGGGAACATTATAGATGTAATATTATGTCTTTGTGCTTTAGAATTACGGTAACTTTAATAGAATTTCAAGTTTTTATCATTTCAGAAAAGACGGTCAGTTATTTAAGTGGGACCAATGGGAATGCGGCAAATAATAGGTCGATTTTCTAGCTACTATATTTGGTAGGATGTTTTCACTCTTTTTGACGACTGTTTATGCATGGCAATCTAGTTTTGTCTGTATATCACGTACAGGGTGTTGTACATAATCCGTACCTGTATTGCCCATTTATGATCTAGAAATCCACACCAAATGTAAACAAACAGCACATTCTGCATTTCTGGGTCCTAAAGCATCGATATATGTAAAAGTATCCGCATCCTACTATTATTCATCGTCTAGATATTATAAGTCAGAATCAAACATTCCTATTTATGAAAATATATCTCCAAACATTGTTATATTTTCTTATTATTTCTATTATTATAACACGTCGGGGATATTAATTGCTTTTAAAGTGATCTGCAGTGTTGCCGAATCGGAAGAAAACGGAATCGTTAAATAGTGTCGTTGAGTTCGGTATAAGGTAACTGTCGTCCCCAGATCAGTGGTAAATCAAGGACCTTTGAGTCATGAATAACGTCTGTTATTGTATTGGGCGCGCATACAACATGTTTTTTGAGGGCATAGTTCTATATTACAACTTCTACAATGTGCATACTGGTCGCTCTTTCAAAATACTTTGCAAACCATTCTGGAAACTCCTTTTTCGATTCTCCATAAGATTAACTTTTATTTTTGGTTTCAGCTCTTCTTCGGCAAGTTTAGAAATATTTAAATTATTCTGAAAAATCGTGGAGAATGATGTTATCGGTAAATATTCTCTTTTTGGTAAAAATACCGAAAAATCCGGTTCAAGTCCATGCATAGACAATCTGAAATTTGCAATATGAATTTATATTCTAAATTCTATGCATATCCGTTCATATTCGTCAATACTCGTATTTCATTTGAAGCTTTTATTTGTCTTAAGATTTTAGCAAAATGTGAGATAGTAAAGGCAACACCGCACCCTGCAGCCCAGTTGACAAGAACGACAAGCTGTCAAGATTAGGGATGTTCAGATCGACGAAAAGTATCGTTATGTATCGATTCTTATTGTTTTTGGAGGTATCGAATCAAATATTGGAATAAAATTATCGATATCCAGCGGAAGGAAACAAAGAAGAAAAGTAATGTGAAGTTAGTCACTCTTTCTGACACAGTCCGGATCGAAATATGACGATACTCGTGAAATGTATCGATTCACCCAAGTGTCGTATATAAAAATATCGATCCAAAATATCGGGTATGGGAAGCAAAAGTATCGATACTTCTAAATATAGGATCGTATCGAACATCCCTACTGTCAAGATGTATAACCTGAGGTACCGACGCAGCTATTTTGGGGCGTCATGGAAATAATTTTAAATTTTCATTTGCATTTTTTCAAGTCTTGTGCAACGATTTTGGGAAAAAATCCACGTATAGTCTTAGAAAGCATAGTAGAATATATTTCAACAGTTGGCGGAGCGTACCCCACTGGGACCAGGGGGTGAAACGGGATATTAATGTACAATCTGGCAACCATGTCGCACCCTCAAAAAATGGCCGCTGACAACCACACAAATCACCGTGTTGTCATTGAATAGCATGGAATTAAACCTTCTGCAGTGTATATGTTTTGTGACTGGGACCAAGGGTTGACGGATCCCACACGTGTCACTCGTTGGGGAGTTTTGAAATGTAATAATCAGCTGTTATTCAAATAATGGCTAATTATATAACCTAGAATGTGTACTCGTGAAAAAAGAAAAATATTTCAAATTTCTAGTTTTTTACAGATTTTGGTTTGTTGGTAGAAAGCTAAAAAGACGACATATATTTGGGATTTAATCGCTGTAAATATAGTCTGGATGTTTGTTCAGTTCCTAAACAACGAAAAATATTCAACTTTATGGATGTATGGATATCAAAAAACCTTAATGGTTTTGTGTGAATATCAATCTAAGGTGCCATAATGGTTCTGATTAACGGCAAGTAAATGAATGAATGCTTGGAAACGAGCAATATCTATGAAATTTTTGGTATCAGTTGAAGAAAATAATATAAACATGAAAAAATCAACAATAATAATTAAAACATGAATTTTATTCAAAAGTCAAACATTTCTTTAAATTTTGACTGAATTATACGTACCTAATTTCTTAATATTCAATAAGCTGGTGATGTTTCAAGGACAAGCTGTCATCTCATACTCTGATAATATTTTGTTTTCAACATTTCATAGGATGGTCGATTTCTAGTAATATGTCTCAAAATATAGAATAATTATACGGTTTGTGTAAGATGGGTAAGATGGGATAAATTACTTGGTTTAACTACAGAAGCCTATGTTTTCATTTGCGTCCGGATACTAAATTAGTGGTCATGATCATACAATGCACCAATGAAAAAGAAGCATTGGCGCTATACCCGAAGCATAAACACAAATCCTACTCGATATCTCGATTGATATAACAGCAATTAAATGAGCATTTTACTGAAAATAACAGAGTCCCACTGTTGCTATACAAAATTCTGCTTGATAAATTCTTTGTAAACATAAATAAAATTACAGAATAGTTATTATTTAACAAACATGGAGTAAATACTCAATTTACTTGACTACCCTGCGAAAAACGTTGCTCCTTAAGGGCCGTATAGTCAGTCGTTCCTACAATTGAATCGCTTATTTGAGAAACCCCTCATGTCCATAAATTCAACATTTTGACTTTTTGGACTCAATGGCATATTCTCATATAGATGCACGTTTTGGAGAGAAATCGCATATGTTGAACTGATATAACGCTGTCAGCGCTAGTTCAAAATATAGATTTATTTGAGAAACCCCACAAGTCCAGGACACGTGGTGTTTCTCTAATAAACGGCTCCCATCTTCTACGCGACAAATGACATACGCATGCGTTGCGGGTGTTTACCGTTAGCTCATTTTCACAATGTATTCGTACGAGGATGACCTTTCCGCGGAAGTTATTCCCAAAAAACGCAAAAAGGGAGAGAAACAAGTTATTTATAAAAATGAAGTGATTAAAGGTGCACGAGTGAGAGGTAAAGAATATCTGAATTACAAAGGCATAAAAGTAAATCAGCGGACAATAGGTGAACCATGCCGGTAAGAGAAATACGAGTCATTTTGGTTTTGTCGGTCAAAATATCATTTTCCACTTTTAGGTGTAGGTCATGCTGCTTTGATAAAATTCCCGAAGCAAGAGATGTTTGATATATTTTATGCCCTAGAGATGAAAAATGAACAAGATGCATATATGCAGGCCCCAATAGAGTGCTCAGAGATTTCCAGGAAACAACCTAGAGTAGAGCAAAATAATGCAAAGCCAAAAAGCAAATCATACAAATACTGTGTCTTCCAGTTCGGGAAAGCACCGTGTATGCAAAACAACTTTTATTAGTATCCATGGAATCACTGTAGACCGTGTTCGTCGCTTGAGTAAGTTATTATCAATAGGAAAGCCACCTAATGATAGAAGAGGCAAAAAAACAGGGAATGCAAAACCTGGACAGGTGGTCAGGCAAGTAGAGGAGCATATTCGTTCATTTCCAGTTAAAAGGTCACATTATGGTAGCCGTGACTATCACTACCTTAGTGAGAAGCTGGATATAAAAAAATGCATGAATTGTTTCTTATGAACAATCCCGAATCATCTGTAAAGTATAGCTTTTACCGCAAGATATTCAAGGAACGTTTCAGGTTGTCTTTCGGCAGACCACAGGTCGACACCTGCTGCACCTGTGAGGAGCTTTCCAACAAAATTAAATCTAAGGCCTTGAACGATGTTGCTAAACATGTAGCTGTGGCGGAAAAAATAGTTCACCAAAGAAGAGCCAAAAAAATCTACAGCAAGATGAAGTCGATTGAAGAGTTATGCCAAACAGATCCCAGTGTAGGAGCAATTTGCGTGGACTACATGCAATCTTGCACTTCTTGTTAGTCCGGTCCAAGACACATTTTACCTTCATCAACTAACTGTCAATGTCTTCAATATCCACGACCTGAAATCTGGAAAAACTATTTTTTATGTACATCACGAAGGTATGGGCAAAAAAGGACCAAACGAGGTGTGCTCCTTCATTATGCACTTTATAAATATATAGTTCCAGCAAACATTGAACATTTCCATATTTTTTCTGACGGATGCGGTGGTCAGAATAAAAACCATTCAGTTCTTAGAATGTGCTTAGGTCTTACAGACCTTGGACGGTTTTTTCAACTTTTCTCGCGATTGTTATTTTTGGACATGTGAGGTTTCACAAATAACTGATTCAATTGTAGGATGACTTTATGGCCTCCTTGATTTTCATAATATTTTCTCTCCTTTAGAAAGGCTTGGGTATTTCTAGATTTCTACTGTTTCGTGTCAGTGTCAGCGCTCTAATATTGTGAGGCTATGTTTTCTTTCTGAATTGTAGGAAATTTCATACTGTATAACAGATGACGTAAATCAAAAGCATGAACAATTTGATGCAAATAGATATTTGTAATATAACCTCAAAATAGAGCGCTGACACGGAACAGTAGACAAAGGTGTTCTACAATGATTGTAGGAACGACTGACGATATCACCATAACACGGCCCTGTTAACAGAGAGCTCTCGCGCCCTCTACTGGGCAGTAGGATGACCTTTTACCTATTAACTGTAACAGGACCGGCTTGAGGAACAGGGTTTTTTTGCACGGTAGTCAAGTAAATTGATTATTAACTCGATGTTTGTTGAGGAACAAGCATTCTGTAATTTTATTTATGTATTCGGATAATTTATCAAGTAGAATTTTGTACAGCAACAGTTAGACACTATTATTTTCAATAAAATGCTCAGTAATGGCGTCATGCCAACCTATTGTATCAACTTTTATGTCCGGACGCAAATGAAAAATAGGTTTTTGTAACTGAATCATGAGAGATATGAAGTATTTCTTGATTTAATAGTAGAACTAGAACATTTTACAAGAAATCCATCACTTCAAAGACGCCTTCTCATTGGTCCAAAGGCGCATATTTTGATTCCCGCCGCTCAATAGAAAAATCGGGCTTTAGAGGTCTATAAAAAACGTGCAATATGGCCGGCTGGGTATAAAATATATTGAAGGCTCTTGACAGCGGTTACAATTTTTGTGAATTCGTTCCTGTCTGGTCAGAAAATCTGGTATATTTTTAACCAAAGTACATCCACTTCAGCGATAGTCTCGAACAACCGCTAACAGGACGTGTATATCAACCGGTATCTTAATTACGAATATTTCCTTCACCATAAGTGTTAGTTTACACCAAGTTTAATTTTAACCGGGTATATCGATAAAACCTTCACCAGACCCCACTTCAAACGGAATCTAAATGCGAAACTACATCTGCGAGCTGGGATCGTTGGCATATCCAAAGAAATCGTTTATTTATGTATCGGTATTTGAAAATATCCATACGTCTATGTGTGAATGACGTGACTGCGCGCCTAAGGTCTTCATACACACTGTTGCCTAGTACGTGATTCAAATAGAAAATATTCGATGGCTGTTTGTTATTGAACGTTGTGGATGGACATGCTTGGACTATTTATAACAGAAACAACACATATCGATATTGCGAAACATATTGTTTTCTCTAATCAACGTGCCAGAATTCTTAAAGATATTAGACTAGTTGAATATCACCTAATAGAAGGGCAGATAGAATTCTTTTAAGAATACCCACTACCTCACGGATCAGTTTTAAGGCCATTATTTTAGATTGTTGATGCAATGTTACGGCTGAGCATATTGAGAATTAGCGTTTTAGAATATAGTCCAGAATTCGTTCTATCACTGAATATCTTTCAGATGCGAAATTTCTAAATTTTCATTATTGAAGCTATGATATAATTGTGAGTCGTCAGCAAAAAACTGAATGATACAAAACTTCACAACCCTGTTTATATCTGCTATACACAAAATAAGGAGAAGTAGTCCAAGAAATGATCCTTGAGACACTACTGCTTGGATTTCGATGGAATATTGATACAAAATCACTATTACAAGGATGAAAAAACAAATAAATGAAAAAAAAATCGAGTAAACGTTACAGCTTTGGTATCAGTGAAAGACGTCCTATTTATTTACAAAATTTACGGGTAACCCTATTTTTAAAAAATAAAATTACAAAATGGGAATAATATTTACAACATGCAAGCTCACAGTACATGATTATAAAAATCACAATTTAAAAGATAATTCTTAAAGCCTGAGAGTGTACAGGTAAAGATTTCAATATCAGACTGAGCTCAATTGATAACACGGACTGCTCTATCGAGTGGAGACTGCTGACGATAATTTGTGGGATGGAACTTAATCGCAAGCAGATTACTATTACGCAATGTTCTACGGGGTAGATTAATATTTATTAATGTTAACAAAGTTTCGCAATCGGTAAGGCCCAATAAAATCTCGAAAGCGAAACAACCATCAAAGGCCTATGCTCTAATGTAGGTAAACGCAAATGTTCTAACATTTCAGCTCTATGATATTCCGTCATATTTAAGTTCATCTTTAATGCTGCAAGACGTAAAAATGTATACTGGACACGCTGTAAGACATCTTTATAACACTGGTATTGAGGGGACCATACTACTGTGGCATATTCTAAATTTGATCAGGAGCAGTATAAAATTCGGAAGGCATTGATAGAAAAACATTATAATTTCTCCAAACAAAGCCCAGTATCTGTATGCTTTTTATACTAACTTTGAGAACATGGTCTGAAAAGTTAAGCCTTTCATCAAAAAGCACTCCAAGATCCTTAGATCCCTCCTTATATGGGAGGGCATCATTATTTAATTTATAGCCAGTTGAAATTGAACTCCTACTTTTGAAGAAACTTATGAAACGCATTTATCATTCAAGTGACTACGCTGTGTCCTCTGCTACAGCGCATCAAGGTCCCGCTGAAGGCCCACCATGTCACCTTTCTCCGCAATTGTCTTGTAAATGTTCAGGTCATCAGCAAACATAGTTCCTTTAGAATAAATTAGAACATCAGAGATGTCATTCACAAACAAAATGAAGAGGAGAGGCGCACAATGGGACCCCTCAGAAACCCCTGATGTAACCTTGAAGCTCCAAGACATGCCCACTGATTTTTACAGATTGAGTCCTACCTTTAAGCAAGCTCTCTAACCATCTTATAGTGTTTTCTGAAAAACTATAAGCTGACAGCTTTGCCAATAGAATGTCGAAGTTCACTCTGTCGAAGGTCTTGGAAAAGTCCGTGTAGATTGTATCCACCTGGTGACCCTTTTCCAAGGCCTCCAACAGATCAACTTCATAAGACACCAAATTCTGAACGGTTGATCTACCCTTAGTAAATTGACTTACAAGCCCAAGGCAAGACCAGTTAAGTTGATCATATATCAAGCTATCAAAAAGTTTCGGAATTGATCACTGGATACATATACCTCTATAATTGCTAATATCTTCAACGACTCCTGACTTAAAAATTGGCTTTATAACTGTGTTTCCAAGTGTCAGGAAAAACACATGTTTGGATGGACATGTGAAAAATAAGATGTAAAGGTTTAGTAAGTGTAAAGATACATTCTTTGAGGAAAACCTCAGGAATTTGGTCAGGCCTCGAGCTGAACTTCACTTGGAGACTTTTTATTCATCCCATCTTGCACTCTAACTCCCTTTAAGTGCATACTACTAGGTAAGCTACTTGAATTTCTTAAATTCTTTACGTATCCCCAAAAGCGCCGTGGATCGGCTACCAAAGATTCCTGAACTCGATCAATATGAATTGCATGACATCGCTATGTTCTTCTTTACATAAAGAGCGTAACTCTGAGAAAGTCACATAGTCTTCATAGATATTTAAGTTCAGGGCTGAACCATTTAGGGTAACGGGAATTTTTTATTCGCTTTTGAGGTACAAACCAATCCAAGCAATTTTGTAAGACTGTATAAAAGATGCTAAATAATCATTAATTGCAGTAAAGTTAGCATTTATAAAATCGTAAAAGAGCTCAACAAAATCAGATTGTACACTTTGCTAAGGTTATAAAGGCATTGGCTCTGTGGTGTACACTATTATTATGAAGTTTCTGATAGATATTATAGACATAGATATGTTAACTTAAAACGCTCGTCAGTTTAAATCACGATACAGATTAACCTCCCTTTCCATGACTGCGCACCCACTGAGTTAGTGTCAGTGGCCATGAGCTGTACCATAACTAATAAAGACATTGATCTGCGGTTTTCGTGATTTTATAGGAGCAGTATTAAGAAACCATACCGTTTTGTTTGAAATTTTTTGAGGAATTCAAAAAAACTGTGACACATCCATAAAACGTTATCTAGTGGCCACAAAGTGAACTAATTTGACAAGATTGCGCCTTGAGTAACAGCGCAGGCGTCAGCTCTTTCAAATGAAACTAAGATTGTGAAAATAAATTAAGCAATCAACATAATAGAGTTATTAAATCGGTACGACAAGTAATCATTTTTTCAAAATAATGGCATTTGAATTTTTGAAATTGAAAACACGCCCCTAGCGGTCATTTTAGGAAGCTGAAAATAATTTCCAACAATTTTCTTTGGCAACTTTTGTTGTGGCGTTTTTTAACGGATTGGTGTATGTTAAGCCGTTGTTGGGATATAGCCGGCGTCCTTTATTATTTGGTCACCCGGTACGTATAATGGAGAATGAATGAATTAGTTATAATTGACCCAATCTTTTTATTTGTGATACGTGCGTTCATACACATCGTTTGTACCCAATAAGAAAATTGTTCGTCAAATCAAATTAATACATTAGAAACATGACACAGTTTCGTTTCCCACATCTATTCCATACTAGGGCATAGAAAAATTCCGTTGAATAAGCACATTCCCATATATCATATACACATTTACAGCTGACGTTTGATCCTACGAAAGATATTAATACGGTAGCGTCAAAGTATGACTAGTGCATAATCCGTATCCTTAAACACCGTGTATATAAACACGTAGACATATTCAAAATTACAAATGCGGTTTGACTAAAATAGCATCTGCGTCCATATCCCACATTATTACTAAATGCATTATAAAGGCAAATAGACTGAGTGTCGGCATACGTCATTTCTTCTGAGCAGTTCGATCCGTTTTCCATTCTTCAAACACATTTTCTAAATCGAGAAAATATCGCGCCGCCCAACATAAACATGGTTCAGCCTCCATAACCCCATTCGTCGATTTTGACGTACACGTACTCTGTTGTTTGAACGATCCATCTACGTCAATACTGGATAAAAATATGGTCATACCGATATTTGTGTAGATGCGTACAAGGGTCTGCTGATAAATCACGTAAAAGAAATTATTATTTGGGAATAATCATCAGCAATTTTTATAGTATGCCGTGGCATATTGTGTAAATCATTCTACTTCAAAACCTGGTTGATATACAAGAACGAGGGATGTTGGGTATACAGGGTGACTTCGAAGTTGAGTCATTTATTTTAACAGTGAGTAGATCTGATCAAAAGAAATGTTTTTTTCCTTTACCATTTTTCTGGTAAAATTAAAGTAACAAAGTTATAGCCCTTTGGAAGTTTGAGTACCGCCCTGTCTCAATAATAATATCATGTACTCGTGTTTGGCAACAACGGATATAATCCGCCTTACCGGTTCATCGCATCGGAAACAAAAAAGCGAAAGAATTTGGAACGACGTTTTTGCAATTAAGTGTTTTATTCAGTTCAGTTATACATACAGTCAGTATCTGTCGGTTAGCGTGTGAATAGTTTCTGTTGCGTGGCTCAAACGAAATAAAAAATGGCACATGTTTATGCGGATCGGTTTCCCAATCGAGTGCAACCAACCCCTCGTGCCTTTGTTAATGTAGTACAACGGGCTCGTGAATCAGGTGACTTAAGACCTCACAGGGGACCTCACGATCAAATACAGGTCCGCACTGAAATACTTGTCGGGAGGATACTTTATAAAACAAGGTAAAAATTTTTTTTATTTTTACACACATATTCTGGTTTATCTTCCTTCTACAATCATTATCTGAAAATTAATGACTCAACTTCAAAGTCACCCTGTATATTACTGATGTTAGATTACCTTAAACTTAATCAAATCTCATTTACTCTGCGACAAAACATTTATAATCACTCGATTGCTGCGTATATTTGCTTGCCACTGCCTGCTCAGGCATTAAGGACAATAGGAGAGAGCGAACTTGAACTTCGTGCGCTGGTGTTTGACGGGGAGTAAATGAGATTTGAATATACTGTTCGCGTGGTGCTCAGTATAGCGCCACTTACTCATATCGGACGTCTGGCTAAATATTTCTGATTGTGGATATTAATGAAAATAACAGAGTAACTCCAAAACAACTAAATGTTTTGGAGTTAGGCACAATTTACATTTCAATCTGACAATTCTCTGATATTTGGACCTTTGCTAGACCTCAGTTGCCCCACATACCTAAAATTTCACCATATTCTACTATTACGAGTAGTCCGATGGTGTTTCCCGTTTTGTTAGACGCATGCGCGGTGCTTGATTTAGTCCCCCACACCCAAAAAGCCGTGCAGGGCATCGTGGCTTCTTGGCCCGCAAGGTTTATAGAAACGATATCGCTTACTATTACGGTCACGTATGATGTGGGTGCCGCTGTAACGCTTCATAAATCCCTCTCAAGAGGATGAAGGTTTCATGGTTATTGATATCCGCTATCATCCTGAGATGTCAAAGACGAGGGACAGGCTGACCGTATGATAAACCACTTGAGGCAGTCTCGTACACACAGCGGTATCGTATACGAGTATTGCGTCAAATAAAAGTATTGATTGGGGATAAGCGAGTATTTTTGAGGTAAAGACCAACAAAAGCATCCCCCAATTTTACACATTTTACATGTGTTCTTTGGAGTAGGCGGATTCAATCTGAAAACATTTTGTGAGTGGAGCTTTGTAGCAATATAGTGGAGTAATCTTAAGTTTATAGGTACCTGGGAACCCCCATTTTTAGTGAATTTGAAAATTTGATTTCTCCTAAGTTAAAAAATAAAGTCAAATAGGTTGACGTTGCACTTCCCGCGCAACGCCATCAGCAGTCCATAGACCTTATATCCTGGATAGAGGATAGTTGCTATGCTTTCATTATCTCAGAGACCAAGCCTGGATCATGCTGACGAGTTGCCAAAACAGCACGAAACAGCTATCCCAGGTTGGCTGTCTTTGGTCAGAACAATAATTTACGGAGATGTATAACAGAGGAATTAAACGGATCAAGTCCTTCAAACAGGTCCTTACAATCAGTCCATAGACATTCTTTCTTGGTCCTAACGTCCATCTGGCAACGTCGCTTCTCCACAACACCTGACCGCACGGCGTGTCAGACAAGGCAGCGCGACACGGCGTATCAGACGTCACGCGATGCCACATATGAAGATCGCACACCCGCCGGTGAAGCCAGAGAAGAAACGTTTGAACGCGGGTCGAAAGTGTTTCTTTATCGTTCTGTTTTAAGGGCAAATATTTGGTACGATCTATGATATGCGAAAGATGTCTAATAGGTGCGTATAATTACCGGGGTTGGAACACCAACATAGACCATACATCCTCCCCCTTTCGAACGTTTTACCACTAAATATTTCTTCAATAATGATCAGGATCTTCTGAAACGACATAACCAAGTTTGAGCAATTTTCCTTTTTTTGTCGTTTTCGGCATTTTGCTCCGCCGCCACTGGACCGATTTGGCGGATATGTCTATGGCGTGATCTACTGCTAGGTAAGTATGCGCACTGAGATGTGAAGCGTATACAAAGTGATCTTAAACTAGTGGATAATCTTACAGTGAACAAATCTGGTACTCTGTATTTTAGCTGTCCAAGAAACTTGAAGTCTCTTACATAAACCTTATAGTCTAGTCTGACCTGTAATCTCTGAAATCACCTGTTGGAGGTCCCTTGGTGGTGTTAACCAGTCCTCATATGGTAAAATGTAGGAATGGAACAGAAAGCCAGCAAAAGCGGTACAACGTTAAGGTTTCAAGCGATGCTAGGTTTAATGTAGCAGGTTATCTTCTGAGGTTACAGAATGGAGTTCTGGTTAAATCCTGGTATGAAGAATGAAGAAGAAAACGTACAGCAAGTAGAAGACGTTGAAGGGAAGAAGAAAAAGAAAAAAGAGGCCTGTGGACAAAAGTCAAGCATAAGCTACATGCACTACAAAGCAATTAATCAGGCACTACATGAGTGCTTCAAGCATAAGCTAAAGGCAGCAATAAAAAGGTAAGCTACCTACATAGGGTGGCCTTTAAAGTGGAGGGAAATCCTCCAATCTTAGAGATCCCACAATAGTAGTGGTGCGAACGCCTACAGCAATATTGAAATTGAGAAGATTTTCCTTTTATTCAGCTATTTTTCGGAACCAAATCCGCACTTGCGAAACAGACCCTCTGTGCGATGCATATTATTTCTAGCTACAATATCTTAAATCTAGATGGAAATCATAGAAACATAGTTGCAGATACATAAAATATTCTCAAATTAGTGGTTTTCTAAAGGAGTTCATCTATGTATATCAGCAGATCTGTTAGATTAGTTGTCCCTGTTTTTGGCTTGAGCTAACAGATGTAACGGTTTCACCGTCCGATCGTATTTATTAAATCACTTCTCGATTATCATTTCATTAATCCCATCTCTAGCTTTTTTACTTGGAAAATTTTCCGCTTGGAGCGCGCTTGATGCCGAGTTCCTGATCTGCGATCTTCCTCGCGCTTCCTTTTCACTTGAGCCGCCGATCGAACAAGAGCTAAGAATTTTCTTCTCTGTAGCACAAGGTCATATAGCACCATGTGCTAGAATTTTGTAAGAATGTGTGTCCGTATAGGACAAAATGGTGAGTTTTATAATACTATACAGTTTTATTGCTGGATCTGCCTGTAGTTTATAGATAATCGATATTTAAGTGGTTTATTTCTTGTACGATTTTAGAATATCCATCGAACGTCATTTTCGACTACTTCGATCATTCGCCATAACTTTAATCAAATCGAGGTAGAAATCGATCCACATCGATTTTACCTCTGTGTGCGTATAAATATTCATAGTTCAGTGAAATTATGAGTACGTTGATTATGAATATTCGATATTTGTGTTTTTATATCAGAAACATGTGGAGAAATTTTTGATGACCACCATCTTGTTTTACGCTTTTGTTTTGCTATTTCATGATTTTATTTTATGAAAGGCATTTCCAATTTTCGGTTTGATTTTATCAAACTATGTAATGTAATTCTAACCTAGAAAATCGTTGGTTCTCTTTTGAGGCAGACTGAGATTGGAAATGCCTTGGCCATTAGGGCACGTTGCTAATGCACACGGTTCTTTTTCAGATTGGGGCCACCCCCTTCCTCTTTCCCTTTCCCTTTGCCTTTGTCTTTGACTTTGCTTTTGCCTTTGTCTTTGACTTTGCATTGCTTGGCCTATCACCTCACCCATGCATGTGCCTTGGCAGCGCCATCGCTTTTAAGTTCAACTTCGCCTACAACTGGTTTTGAAGCCACTATATGTGAGGTCACCCCTCATAACTGGGACCTCCACTTCAAGCACCTGGCCATCCTCGCTTCAGTAAAGTCAAAATGGACCGGCGAAAGATAAGTTGACAGTTTTATAGCAGCGCCAAAGATGTAAAACTTATTTTGTTCTTTAAAACTGTAAAATTGTAATGTAATGAAAATGTTTTTTTTGTTAAATAAAATCTGTTAAATTTTTGTGTTCTGTTTGTTCTTCTATCCTCTAGCCATGCCATGGTCGACACACAGCTACACGCCTGTAGATGTCTTCATGCCACCGACTGAGCTACCGGAAGCTAATGGTAACCCCCTTTCTGTGATTGTGCAGAAAAGTTGGAATCTTCATTGCATTCCATCTTTTCTGGACTTTTTGCGGAAAGGAAGCGTTACACAGACACAGGTAACAGTACAAACCTTTCTTTTCTGGGAAACGTTTCTCTTTACAAAGAAAACTAACTTCTCTATAAGACTTGCACAAAATAAGTACAATTTCTGGTTGTACTAGAGGTAATACATTTTGAACTTGTAGCAACACACACCGACAGAATTAAGTGACATGGTTTTTTGTGTCGTACATGTCATATAACATCACAACATAATATCTTATTTACAAAATTTTTCACGATTACATTTCCTCGCCAGTAGACGTGGGAAGTAAAAATTAAGTTGACAAAACATACCAGCCTTTGGTTAAGCATGCAGAAAACGTACTGCTATATAGACAATATTATCGTATTCTGATAATGTTTCAATTTCCTGAGGGCCGACTTACCAAAGTCAAAGTTACTTTCATGAGAAATTGCCGTTCATGTCGATCAATTTCGCGTTTAAGCTCAAAACGTGTTCACTCTAATTGATAATTTTTTTCAGATAAACGATATGCACGACGTCTTTAAAGGCACATTCGGGCTCATTCAAGGTGAGCGGTAATCCGCAATTTAAAAATTGATATACATATCTCGGTCTTATTAATAATCCCTACAGAGCAAAAATCGATTTATATTTTATGTCGTTACCTTATTTTGGTACCGGTTTATTTGTAGCTCAGTTTTTATAGATATCATTTATTGTTTAACACTGAAGATGATTTTTTTACTTCTGACTATTATCATTGTTAGACCTGGGCAATATTATTGTAAAACTGGCATAGCTACGATTATGGTCTGAAATTATAGGGGTAGACTTTCGGGGGAAAACAATACGTGACAGACGCTATGCAATCTAAGGGCCATGATACTTCACGTTCAAACCTAGTTCAATCAAAGTATGGTAATCGTGCCAATGCTGTATTCATCAAGTCACGGTGTGATGTGCTCAAATCGTTATATCTGAATGACAGATAAAAAAAATGTAAACTAAAATACAAGATATAAATATAAGATCTCGGTAAAACTTTGAAAAGGAAAATTCTGAAAATGGCGGGATGAAGAGAGAATAATTCTACTTGTTTTTTGCGTGTATTAGCAACAGAGTAATATTGATTTTGGCCAGAAAGGGCTGCCATTTCCAAGGACATGACCAAAAAACAACATAAACATTATATTTTGTATACGGCAAACTTAGTAAAAGTTGATGTCTTTCATAACTTCAAACCTCGTGACGCTTCCATCAAATTAGAAATTTCATTCAATTTCATAACACTAAGTACATTTGAAGTTTTCGACACCAAACCATACCTCAAAAACCTAGGCCAAGATCTGTAAGGGTTTGCAGTCCGTTCTGAAAAAATAAATTTCCTATGTGATCGCCTCTGTAGTTGGTAGAAGAAGAAGTTTCCTTACATCGAGGCAGTACCAATCCGCAGATTGTGATGACTATGGACAGAATTTGTGTAAGTTACATGCTCGCATGTTCTCAGACGGAAAGCTTCGCATTGCCTAGCATGGTATTCAACTTGGGTTACTCAAGATACTTTGTAAAACCTTGTCGCAGCGTTATTCAAATGTGAAAAGTGACATAAAACTCACCCTATTTAAAGATCAATCGGATATTAACTCACCTGAAACAGAAACAATATATTAAAATCGTTGAAACTCTTATGAATTAATTTTTGAGAAAGTCCACATGATTGTATTCGCTATAACTTCGTTCGGAAATACTGTCACGTAAGAAACAATTTTTTGCACGTAAAACTGAAATCATCATGCGTTCATCATAATCTTACCATCTCGCTTTTCTATTTAAAACCAACAAACCACAGATGTGTAATTAGTCCAAAGTATCTTTAAACAACCCGTACCGTAAATACACAAAAACCAACGAAAAGCTCGATCTTAATTACTTTTTCATCTTAAATTTCACTGTTGCGGTGAACAATATTAAATCCCCAGTATTTTTACCGGAAACTTATGTGTGATCATTAAGTCGCAGTCGTTATCAGAGTAAACACAAGATATTAGAAGCGTGACGTAGTTCCTAGAAAAAGAAACCTCGATAATTTGAGGGAATGTGGGTTAAGCCAACGCCATTATTCCCAAAGTTATCAATGTATTTGCGAAATATTCCCGATTGATGATAATATCTAACCTCTCACGCCAAACATATTACTATGAAAAAAATATGGAATTTTAGATATTAGATTCCATTATGTATTATCAAAAGCACCATCCAGATTTTAAGTACAATCATAAATATATTAAGGTGCCACTATGATAAGGACCAAAAACATCACTGGCGATTTTTTAAAATGTATAGCATATAGAATGATCAGCAATACAATATAAACGTATCAGGATACTTTTATAAATTTTGAACGACACTACAACCTTCCCAACTGCATGAAAAACAGAATGACCCCACCATCGCACAAGCACAAAAAATTAAGATTAAATCAATGTTGCCAGGTTCAAAAAATAAAAATTACTAGACGTTTTGCTAAAAAATCACTAGATTATTTATTATTTTTATATACAATAGAGGTAAATAATAAAAATTTTTATAATTTTTAAGGCTCTACTTTTAAAAACAAACAGCAAAAACGTACATTGGAACAGACAATCAAAATAAACCATAAATATAAACAGACAAAAGTAATAATATATTTGAAAGCTTAAAAACAATAAACATGAAATTAAATATAACTTACTTAAAACTACATTAACCTAAACGAATTTAAAAAGAATAACTTTCTTTCGAGTACATATTATTATGTAAAAATATTCATAAAACACTCTTAAAATAAACAACAAAAACGTAAATTTGAACACTCTTAAAAGAAGCCACAAATACAAAACCATCAGACAAAGTAACAAAACACCAAATATATTTCAAGGCTTAAAAACGTTACAATAAAAACGAAATTAAATATAACCTATTTAAAACTACATTGAAATAAAGAAATTTAAAAAGAATGACATTCTTGCCAGTATATTATTATTATTATGTTTTCTTATAATGTCCCTTGGAATTGGAAAATTAAAGCAGCTCATATCTTCAGCATTAATTAGTTTTTTGCTGTGCAAAATTCCACTTATTTTTGTAGCACCCAGTCGATTACGCAATTTGATTTTGTTTAAATTAATGTAAAAAAATAATCTGTCCACATTTGCGCTACTGTGTGGCAGTGTAAATAAAATTTGAACAAAATTGGCAAGCTCTGGGTATGCGTGACTATCATCCCCTTTTTTGATATTGCATATGTTTTTCCAGAATTGAATTTCATCAAGCGAAAAATCACATTAAAAAAACTTCCACTGCCTAAATTCTTTATCTAAATTGTTAATGTCTTTCACTATATTTGTAAACCTACTAGCCAGAGGACCTATGCTTTCAGTTGCTGATATATTTGATGGGTGCAGAAAAGTTAGTTTGAGAAACTGTACTTCTCGGGAATCGCTTCCATATTTGGCTTACCGCTTCAATATAAAAATACAGACATTTCAATCTGAAATTATGTTTTATATTTCCGGTAAAAAAATTGATTATTCATTTCTTGGAATACTTTTGGACTCAAGTAATTTTTTTCCATTGGAAGAAAATGTTCTGGATTTCGATATTGAACATTAACTATATCCGTATTTCTTATATATTCTGATTTTATGAAACAGCTTAATAAAAATGTACACGTGTCATTAATCCGGGGGTAAAGGTAAGGTTATGTAACTTGGGGGTTTCAGACTGGAATTTCAAATTTATATCCGTAAAAGTCGGTAATATAAATTTCAAAAAAGAAGATATTGTTTATTTAATTTATTATTAGCAAGTCATGGATTTCCGCTGCTAGTGAAGCTTCATCGAATGCTCCAATTCCAAAATAATTCTCTATCATATTGCTCAATAATTCTACTTACAGCGGAAATTAGTGACAGCCACCTGGTCTGTGACAAATGCAATAATTTGTGGGGTCTGATGTTAAAAAATGTTTCAAATTATTAAAATTCCGAAAATCTTTTAAAAACTGCGATGCATATAATTCTGTACGCTTCTTACCAACTTTTGGATGCATTTCTATATTTTTTCATTGTATTTTTCAATTTTTTTTGTTTGCCACAACGCTTTCAAAAAACACTAGAAATATGACATTTAACAAAATTTTTCACTAAATAACTAAACTTGTTCAAAAATCACTAGATCTAGTGAAATTTCACTAGACCTGGCAACATTGGATCAAATAGTGTTTATGATTTGGTGTAGTTGCAGGAGAGCGCAATAATAGTAACTTTTATAAATATTTGCGGATTTTGATTTTACACAACTTTTGTTTGTTAGCAACATTCTAGCAGGTAATCGTTTGTAGTTTCATTGGTTTAGCTTTTACAAATACCCTTAAAAAAGCGAAAAGAATCAATCTTGCAATTCTTCTAATTATCATTAGGAACATTAACAACTGAGATTGCTACAAACAGGTGGATAGTGAGATGCCCGTACCACATCAACAAACAAGAACGTTAAAAATAACCATGTTATTTGATCGCGAACTTTTGCTTGTACTTCCTATCACCTGTTTCCAACAACTATAATCACCTCATTGCATTTTTTCTAGAACGAGGTAAATTGTATACCTATATGGCGTGGAATTACCAATCAGCTTGACAATTATGCTATAAATTAGATAACACAACATATGTAAATTAAGAGAGCCAAATAATACCGAAGTGTTTCATTTGATATCTTGAAATATACCAGCCATAAATCCATTGGA